TTTTCGGCAGAATCACTCAGGAAGCTATTTGTTTACTTTGCATTATTTATACCTTCACGTGGCTCTTCAAGATAAATACCTTTGAATGAAGTAATGTCCTCTTCTCTTTTTCCTAGTTTAGATGTTCATCGAGTACATTCCTTCTACAGGAACTAGCTATCATAATACTATATCCAAGGACTAATGTATATTGACTATGTAATGGTAACTTACATATTATCACTTATAATTAATATAATCTTAAAAATTTTGATCAGAAGTAATATAAATCAGAGAGATTTTGTAGGAAGCTATTATGTGAATTGATTCTAGGGCTCATACAATACCTATCATCCGAAGTAGCAGAACAGGAGTAATGTGTTACGGTGTAAATAACAGGTCTGTATTAAGATTAATCATCATTTTTATGCATCCAAATCGGGTAAAGCGTGGGAATTTTTATGAAAATGAGGGTCGACGAGGGTCCTTGAGGGTCACCCACACGAGGTCTGGCGAGGGTCGAGGGTCGGGTGAGGGTCGCGAGTGTTATACCCGCCCCTCGCGAGGGTCGGGTGGAGGGTCCAACCTTTGGACCCTCATGAGGGTCTGGGCGAGGTCTAAACTATCCAGTGTTTCCGCGAGCTGGGAGGCTACGTTGTCGGTTCTGGAGGGTGATGCGTGCGATACAACACAACCACCACAGGGTCCCAGCATAGTTTATAGAGCATGCCAAGCAAACGAGCTTAGACGATAGGGTCGAAGAGTGAAGAAGTGAAAGAATGATCAGTCCCAAGGACATGATCGGAAAAGGTGGAATTATGACAAAATCTAGGCTTTGAAATAGGTAGGATACCAAATAATCGCAAGCCGCGAAGGCGAGTCAAGTTAACAAGCAACTATATAAGACAGGGTCAATGGTCCAGTCGAGTCCCCATCATTCAATCAGTTTCCTTCCAGAATACTCTCGGAAATCTTTTCAGCAAGCATGTCTGTGATATAATCAGCATTAATATAATTTACCCAATTGCTTTGCGCCCTGAATATGGGTGTACTTACACACGGTGGCCATAGGGAAACCGGGGGGTAAGAATGGCAGTGCACTGGCATCGACTACACGGAGGCCCTCGACACCAAGGACCCGAGACCTAGAATCCACGACGGTTGATTTATCGGCTTTGGGTCCCATTTTGCCTAATACATATCAATATCAGCACAATGTACATTTATGGATGGGAGAGAACACTGACATGTCGAAGCGCCGTGGTAGATCAAACTCATGTTCTCTTTGAGCCATTCCAGGATATCTTCACGCGAGGTAACATTCGACCCTGGTCGATATTCAGACTGGACGATCGTGCTGTTGAATGCAATCTCACGGATGCGTTGCAAGGCGGCGATTGCTTGCTCTTGGTCGCCTTGGTCCAGCAACCAGTTGGGACTGATAATCGGTCCATCGGCCATATCAGCACTCTTGATGGTGATATTGCCACGCGACGAGGTGGTAGACAGTGCGGAGCCAAGTGTGATATAGTTATCATCGGGGCCGAGACCAGGAGGATTGTCGCCGTATTCCAGACTTAGGTAATTGACCTCGGACAAGTCATCCGGGAACGTATCCAGGAACTTACGGGTCTTATTGCTGAACTGCTGGTGGTAGAGCTGGGGAAATTTCTCAAATGCTGCCGATTGTAAGAATGTCTTCGGGTCGTAAAGTGCGTGTCATAAACATACCCAGGGCTTGGCCTCCGCCAATGCTGGCTAGCAGACCAGTTTGGTTGGTGAGATATTGTTCGACCAGCTTTGCGGAGACTTCCTCATTCCCAGCCTGGAGTTGTGAGCCGGTAGTAACGTTGACTTTGAAAGAAAGTTCCATCCACGGTTGATCCTGCGTTATATGAGTACAAGCATCTTGGATTCCGACGAAGACCTTACCCATTCATTCTGACCAACACCTGGTAGATCATTGACAACAGAAATACCATGCTTCTGAAGTGTTTCTGCCGGCCCAATCCCTGAAACCATGAGCAATTGCGGGGAATGCCACTGAAATAGTTAGTTTCGGCTCTGGAATAGAGTGCACTGTTTACTTACAACTCCCGCGGATAGAATAACTTCCTTTGTAGCTGACAGATGATACGTGAAGCTGTTGGTCACTGAGTTGGTCCGAACTTCAACACCCGTGGCACGCTTCTGCTCATCGAAGATGATCCGCTTAGCCAGGGTCTGTGGATAGATCTTGATGTTGGAGTTCCGTGAGGCGAGCTGCAAGAATGAAGTTTCGGAGCTGCGAGTAGCAGTCTCAGGATCAATCGCAGCGGTGATAGTGGCATAGCCTAGGAGCGTTCCGCTGTTCAATCCTTCACGTCGTGGAATCCCTGCCCTTTCCATTGCCTCATCAAAATACGGTCCATAAGGGCCTTGGTAATTGCCATACGAGACCTCCAAGGGACCGCCAGTGCTATCAAACGCGCCGGCATCGTAGCTGATATTAGCTTTGCGGTCGATCTTTTGATAGTTTGGCGGAGTAAAATGGCAGCTCTTCTTGTATGCTGGAAACACATTGTCCCAGGTCCAAAAATCATCGCCCGTAAGCTTCGTCCATTTATCGAATGTGCCGAAGGTGGCTCGAGCATATCCCATGTAGTTGGATGCGGAGCTGCCGCCGAATGTCTGTCCAGCAACATAAACCACCTTACGGCCATTGTATCCCTATTTCGGGTTGATTATAGTCACTGTTATCGAAAGGCTTCAAGGACTTACCACTTGTGGCTCTGTTTCCAGGGCGAATTCGGTAAGAGATTGACCTTTATTTGAGCCCACACTGTTGAGAGCCGAATAAAAGTCGTATCCGGGGACCTGGGTACGATTCGAATTGACAATTTCATAAAAGGTACCGGTCTCTACAACGGCGACAGAATGATTGGCGAGGGCCAGTCGGGCCGCGATGGCATTCCCAGCAGTCCCTCCCCCAATGACCTAACATGCCTGTTAGCAATAATGTCCACCCGAGGCTCGAAGGAGAGGTGGGGAGGGATTCACAATATAGTCGTCGGTTGCATTAGTCCCTGGTAGGCCGAAGGAATTGCCAAACAAGTTCGTTATACCATCGGCACCGACTTGAGCACCAACTATGGCCAGAGTCCGGGTAACCAGGGTTAGTGCACACAAGAGGCTCAGCATGATTGGTCTGGACGGTGGTACCTTGCGTTTTCCAATTAAGTTCCCTCAGCTGGAGCCTCTCCTTCGATATGTTTATACCCTCTGCTCCAGGAACCCCTGACCGACGCTCGGGGTGTTCGGTCCGAATGGTGTATTCTTTGCTTTTTTATTAGTTATAGCAGGCTCATTTGGCATCACTAGGCGTAAAAGTGAAGTGTAAATCGCCCTTGATTTCCGGTAATCAATTTTCCTGTATATTACATCCAATTCCTTTCACATCCTGCCATGATAAACTTCCGCGTGCTGAAGCTGTTCCTGTATGCCCTGGCCGCCTTGGGCGTTTATCATACATGGGGCCGGACTATTGCTGACGGCACCCTGACCCATCTTCTCCATGCCATGCACTCCAAAGATGGGTATGTTCTGCCGGGAACAGACTCTTTCTTACGTACATCAATTACCGGAATTTACTGGCCCGTCGATTATCTGCTCGACATCCTCATCGTCTTCTTCTGGGAGGCGGTGGATGGATCTCACCCGGCTACCTCTGCAATAGGTATCTATTTTCTGTCTCAGTTCCTGAGCGTCTTGACTGGCATGTATGTCGATAGTCTGCGGCAAGGCCAGCCCCGAGGCACTCCGTTCCGGTATGTATTTGCTCCTAAATTTGGTTTGCGGAATGGGTTGTGAGCAATGGCTTACACCGGCAACAGAACAATGTTATGGCTTCTCTCCTTTCAGATGATGGCGATCGCAACTACTGGTCCCTATTGGGCTCTTTGGTACATTTCGGCGACTCCATTAATCAGCCAGTGTCGCTCCCTGGCAGATCTACAGCATGCTTCGATGCCATCAAGCCGGTCGGCACTGCTGGTCATTCCTAGCATGGCAATCGGCTATATTCTCACTGCTGTGAGCATGTGTCTGCCATCACCATCTGTGATTTCCCATGATTCCAAGCAATTGGCACTGGTTGCCTGGAACATCTTCCCCATCGGCGTGTTCTTGATCCACGCGGGTCTCGAGGCCATAGTGCCGAGATCTCAGAGCCGTGAGCCATGTGAGCAACGCCTCGTGACAATTCGCATTGTCAACAGTGTCTCCTTGTTCTTCAGCCTGGCTGTCCACTTGGGGTTGATAAGTATGAGCCTTACCACCGTGCTTTTCCCAGCTCTCTGGGCTCCGCACGCGCTCTTGGCTCTTCACCCGGCCTCCCTAGCAATTCCCTCGGTGGCCATCGTCCGGGGAGCGACGGTTGGCGATGGCATACGAAGCTTCTTTATTTGGGATCAGGTTTTCGGATACGCGGTGGTGATCCTGGTTGCAGTCTTGCAATTGCAGACAGTCCTGACAGCGGTCGGCAGGAGACTGAACCAGAGACAGCTGCTGGCCATCCTGGCCGGGGGGATAATTTTGGGCGGACCGGGAAGTACCTATCTCGGACTGAATTGGATGCGGGATGAAGTAGTTTTGGATTCTGAACAGTGGTCAGACAGAGAGAAAGTGGCGATGCCTGGTAGCCAAGCTGCGAAGAAAATTACCTAGTCCGATGTGAGCATCACGCGAAGAGTAAGCATGCCGATTTTGTCCATGTTTCTCGGACTGCTTCTACTGTCGGTGCATTCGGTCCGACCATCAAGGTGGAAATTTCACTATACCAAGTAGATAGAAAGGTTATAAAGCCCGTTATCTCGAGCAGAAATCCAGGTAGCATCCATTATCGTCATCATCATAATACAACGGGTTTCGAGTATCAAGAACATTCAATTCCAAAAGCAGCACCGACCATGGCCACCGAACAGTCTGGATTTCCCACCCTCGTTCCCGCACTCATCACCAAGGTCAACATTGGCGATGTGAACCCATTAGGTCTGTCGTGTATAGTTTGTTTCTCCACCGAACCACGGGCTGACTGAGATACTCCATAGGTGTTATCCACAATGGATCAACAGTGACACACTTTGTGAGCGAGCGAGCGAGCGAGAATTGGTGTAATACGGCATTTCTCTCAAAGTATTTTGACTGACTGGCAATATTAGGGGACCCCGACCGGAACCATTGAAACAGTCACTGGCTTCGAGCCCGCATTCAAGGCCAACGTCAACTGGGGCGCTGACTGGCTCTCCTTTGACCCAGATGGTCAACACGCCCGGATTAATCTGAAAGGAATTGCCCGGTAGGCCACCCCATTCGACATGTTATGTTGGGCAAGCGCCCTACGAAATCCCGGGAAACGGTTACTGACCACTCTTGACAGAACCGAACAAGGACATTCCATCGACTTCCGCTACAAGGGGGTCATCCGAATGGCTGACGATGTCAAAAAGATCTTTGAGTTCAAGCCGGACATGGCCACGGTGCCCTTTGGGTACGCAAGTAAGTTGGGCCGTTTCTTCTCGTCGGGGCTCGCGGACCGAAATAGTTGCTCATGGTACTGATTGACTCCGGACTAGCTGGGGCACATTCCTTTGTGGTCGCCGATCCTGCCCTCAAGGAAATCGAGAACAGCACATTTGTAAGCAATGGTCGGATTATTGTCCACGAGAAGGGATTGACCGTGGAGACGAGACAATCCAAGGTGGTCCCGGCGGCGGTGATGAACTGATTGGACCGTGTGCATCACATCACTCAACATCGAATCAAGCCCTGTGCTTACCAAAAAGACTTTTCAATGGCAAGATAGCACTAATACGTACATACATATGTACCTTGATTGAACGATGTGGCGGTGCCGGGCGGGGTAGGCAGGTAACCCTAGTTATCAGTAATCCACCCATTCCCATGTACTCTTACATACTCCTACATGCTCCGTACATACATACTCCGTGGTGAGTTACCGCAGCCTGTCGCAGATAGAATTAATACCCCGTCGTATATTACTTTGTATTCCTAGGTATCGGAACCAGAGTCTTCCCTGCCGGACTGAGCGGACCGAATGTGGTTTTTCTTCGGCACAAATCAACACAAACCGATCTATACTCGTCTCGGTGTGGTGACCGGGATGACCGACAAGGGTCCGTCCGAAAGGTTTTATAAACTGACTACCATCTCCTCTCCGCCGATGCTCTGCTGTTGCTTTTTGTTTTTATAAATAAGCTATTGAGTTCCTAGTATATCGCATCAAAGTTGCTTTTTTATTTTTTTTCCCTCTCCCCTGACCCTTACAAGTAATTTTGTTGACCGTCAACCATGGCTCCGTACGGCGCTGACACCACGGCCACTCAGCTGGTCAACGACTACGCCGACCTCATCAAAGACAAAGTCGTTCTGGTCACCGGTATCTCTCCGGGTTCCCTGGGCGGATATTTCATCCAGGCCATCGCCAAGGCAGGCCCATCGTGCCTCATTCTCGCGGCCCGCAACCCAGAAAAAGCCCAGCAGACGGCCAACGAGATCAGCGCTGCTCAACCAACCGTGAAGACTCGCACCCTCCAATTGGATCTCGGATTATTCAAAAATGTCCGCCAGGCGGCGGATGAGGTCAACTCCTGGGATGATGTCCCCGTCATTGACGTGCTGGTCAACAATGCGGGGATCATGGCTCCGGAGTACAAGGTCACTGACGATGGCCTTGAATCCCAACTGGCGACTAACCATCTCGGCCCTTTTCTGTTTACCAATCTCATCATCGAGAAGATTCTGGCCTCCAAGAGCCCCCGTGTGGTCATGGTGAGCAGCGACGGCCATCGCCTTAATCCCTTCCGGTTTGATGACTACAATTTTGATGTAAGACATGGAGCTTGAACTTCCTTTCCACATGTACTAGTCACTGACTCAAAATCACTCAGGACGGGAAGAGTTACAACAAATGGTATGGTTATGGTCAGTCCAAAACTGCCAACATGTTGATGTCCATCTCACTCGCGGAAAAACTTGGCATCAAGCACAATCTTCTCTCCTTTAGTCTTCATCCTGGTGTGATCTGGACCAATCTCGCCAACCACTTAAATATGGAAACGGATTTTGATGGACTGCGTAAGTATCAAACACACTCATCCATCATTTTTTTTTTTTTTTTATTATTATACTTACTGGCATAGGTGCCGCCGATAAATCTTTGGGAAACCGTGAAGGCTGGGGAGAATTCAAGATAAAGACGCTCGATCAAGGTGTAGCGACACACGTTTACGCAGCGTTTGATCCGGGTCTGAATGGTAAAGTGGATTCCTCCAATCCCTTTTTGACAGACTGGATAAGAAACTAAGTATTTGAATAGCCCACAACGGTGCGTATCTGATAGATTCTCGGATCGGTAATCCTCTAGCAGACACGATCAAGCCATGGGCCACCAGCAGCCTGGAAGCAAAGAAACTTTGGCATTTAAGCGAGAAGCTTGTTGGCCAGGAGTTTGCTTACTAGCCGTCCTGTAGTGGGTACAAATCCTGGAATGAACAAAGTCCAAATGGTATAGGAGCAAGGTTTCCGGGGTTGTCAGATGGCTATGAATAGTTGTCACCTCCATACTTTACTGTCCATGTAACTACAGGTAGGTAGCTTAGTGAGATAGGAAGACTGCATGTGCATCACCCATAACTTTTCTTCTTAGAAAAGAAACATTTGTGCTAATAGAAACAATACTTTACTCGTTCATTTTGTACTTATCTATACTCAATTTCACTCAAGCCAGGTTCTCTAACTGCAGACAAGTACTATCAACAATCTCCGAGTATGCTAACACATCCATCCCCCATCCACCGGGATAACAACTCCATTTACGAAGCTGCTTTTCTGGTCGAGTAAAAACACCACCACCTCTGCCACTTCGGTTGGATCGCCCTTTCTAGCGAGTGCTCCTGGGTCCCCTGCACCAAACAGTTCACTTGTTCCGACGCACTGTTCAATGGCGCTGATCATGGGCGTTGCGATAATTCCACTGTTCGTCATGAGCATCATAACTTACTTGTCCAACATGCACTAGAGAGAGTGAAGCCACTTACGGAGCAATAGCATTTACCCGGATTGCCCTAATTCCCTCTTCTTTTGCCACAGTTCGTGTCAGGCCAACGACGGCATGTTTGCTGGCCACGTATGGTCCATTGTTCTGTACTCCTACAATACCCGCAATGCTGGCCGCGTTCACAATGCTTCCCCCGCCATGTCCCTGGGAGCCAGTTTTCATGAATGGCAGCTCCGCTCGCAGGCAGTTCATCAATCCTCGACAATTCACATCCATGACAAAGTCACATTCCTGGTCGGTGATGTTGCGCACTGCTCCACCTTCTTGTGCGATACTCGGCCCGAAAACCCCGGCCAGGTTGGCCGCTCCAGCCAGCGGTTGGTTGAAGTGAGCCATCGTCTGATGGATCCAGCGATGGCAGTCTCCCAGACGACGGACATCGAGAACCGTGGCCAAAACAGGGTCGACCGATCTGTTGCCCGGCTTGTCAGTGGGATAAAGAGGACGCAGTTCGGCAGCGACTTTAGCTAATTGGGAAGCGTTGAGATCAGCAAGGGCTAGGAGTACTCCTTGTTGGGCAAGAAGACGAGCAGTGGCAAGGCCAATGCCTGATGCAGCGCCCGTGAGGGCGACAACCGTTCCTTCAAGGGAGCTCATATTTGTAGATTGAAATCTCTGCGAGGCTGTTTTGTACCATCCGACCCTACTCCGTATGTTTATAATTCATTCAAATACGTACATACTGCAATTATCGACTGACTTCCTCCTCCGGGAGTGGGCACTTTTAATCCACTTTTCTCCACTCGCTCGGCCCGAACCTATCCTCCCAAACATTTTCAGGATTTCTTCAACTGGACCTGGTGCAACTGATTTTCCCTCACCAACAGGGCCAGTGACACTGTCCCTCCCGGTCCGATCGTTAGAGCGCTGACGGTCATCATGAGCCCGACCTTGCCAGGGGAGAACGATGATTCTCCCTTGAAGGCATGAAAGAGTAGCGCAAACGCCCATGAGAGACTGGAGACCGCCATGATGATCAGATCGTACTGCAGAAATAACCAAGGCCCCCGAACCAGAATGTCGTCTGTGCCCGGTGTTCCCGCGAAGCCGTTTGGCACATACATTGCCCAGAGGCGTAGGTCCGCCGCCCATAATGCCTTCGAAATGACATAGACATGAGTGACAGTCGAGCAGAGAGCAGCTAGCAAATACGATCCAGAGATCAACCGATGCGAGGCGCGTGGTCCACAGGGTGATTTCCAGATGCTCCGAATCACTGCTGCGAGAGAAAGTTGAATCCAGGAAACCCAGACTGGATCTGGCTGCCATGCGGCCAGAATCCGTTGGTGTTCTATGGCTGTCCGACTCGCCGGGCCGAGCCAGGTTGGGAGCATGCCAATGATAGCTGGGAGAATGGCGCCGAGAAGGAAACTGACAGGTATTGCAACAGCGTCTGCAAAGCTCACTATTCCAGTTGCCTGATCATGAAGAGCCCATCCAATATGCACTGCATAGTACAGTGGGAAGGAAATAGCTCCCCCGAATGCTTGCCATAGCAATCCAAATATGACCGGACTGAACAGATGTTAGAGAGTTGGGATGCCTGGAAAAAACTGGAAAGAAGACTCACTAGGCAATCCGTTTCGGTTTTGCTCCTGCACGACAGCTTTCTATATACAACCAGACAAATGCTGACTGCAAGACCGAATATGCATCGAGTAAGAAAATTTGGTATTCAATATGCTGTCCATTCGTACCATGGAAGAAGAATCCCACTAGCAAGGCAATTGGAATATCTACAAGATGAATCCCCGTATACCGTGCTTGCAAGGGGAGGCCTTCGGCCATCTGTCCATGGTAAACGGCCAGCAAGAGAGCCATGACGGTGCCATTCCAGGCACTCAGCCCCCAGAGGAGTACAGTTGCCAGCAAGGCTAGCACGACAAAGTAGCGCCGAAGATGGTGAATATCCATGTTCAAGAATTCTGATGAAGCCAAAGATCCTTTGTTGCTTCCTCACACTTTATCCCCCACGTCGAAATAAAGCGGCCGAGTTATCTTCGTCGCTTGTGAATCGATCGGTCCGTTATGGCCGTGAGTAAAACACAAGCCGCCAATGTTTTGAAATCCAAGAGGGTATCTTAGTGAGCCACGACCAGACGATTCGGCCCGAGCTTGAGCCATTCCCGCAACATTGTACACCATGTCCAATTCTGCACCGAGCTCAAGTTCCCGAGCACAGTAAGTCAGCAGTTCCTTTGACAAGAATCAGGAATATTACCAATTAGTGCGGGTAACAATGTCTATCTCTGGTGGTCGAATATCGAATACGGAAGGGTCAACAGTGCTCAAATTAACTACTTAACATCCTCGATTCTCAATCATCTCTTCTTTGTATATCAAATCTCGAAGAAGCTAGTTTTACTTTGAAAACGAACACTTCCTGCGGAACCCGAGACCAACACGGACAATATGCCTCATCGAGTTAGCAGCCCTCGCAATGGCGAAGACGTACTCGAGCCAATTGCCATCTGTGGCATGGGTAAGCATTTCATTTGTTCATGACATGGAATTTGAATCTGACCATTGCAGCCTGTAGACTGCCTGGCGCGGTGGATTCTCCCTCGTCTCTGTGGGAGATGTTGGTCGAGAAAAGATCTGGACAAACTCCCAAAGTCCCTGAATCCCGTTTCAATATCGATGCCCATTTTCATTCCAACCTCGAGCGGCCGGGTTCGTTCAACGTGTTGGGAGGCTACTTTCTCGATCAAAATCCCGAAGACTTCGATCCTACCGCCTTCAACATGACCCCTATAGAAGCACAGTGGCTGGATCCACAGCAGCGGAAGATTCTTGAAGTGTCCTATGAGTGTCTGGAGAATGCTGGTCTCACTTTGGAAGCCGTATCTGGATCGAACACGGCCGTCTTTGTGGGGATCGTTCACCTCAGACTATCGTGAGTTTTTCGTGAGGCCATTGATAAATCAAACTGACTAAACTGAAAGAACAAATGTCGATCCGAGACCCGGATTTTCGTCACAACTATGCGGCCACTGGTGTTGACCCAGGTATCATCAGTAACCGGGTCGGCAATATTTTCAACTTGAAGGGCCCTATTTTTACTATCAATACTGCCTGCTCGTCCTCAATTTACGCGATCCACAACGCCTGTCATGCCCTACGTGCACGGGATTGTGATGCAGCAATCACTGGAGGCGTTAACTTAATTCTCACTGTCGACCAGCACATGAACACGGCCAAATTGGGTATCCTGTCGCCCACATCTACTTGCCATACCTTTGATGCATCTGCTGATGGCTATGGTCGTGCGGAGGGTGCGGGTGTCCTCTACATGAAGCGTCTGCAGGACGCCATCCGTGACGGAGATCCGGTGCGTGGAGTGATCCGGTCCTCTGCCGTCAACACGTAAGCCTTTTCCACTTCACCTAATCGACACGGAGATACTGATCACGAGGATTAGCAATGGTAAGGTTGAAGGAATGGGCATTACTCACCCCAGTCGTAAGGGCCAGGAAGCAGTTGTACGCATGGCATACGATAAAGTTGGACTCGATCCAAACCTCACTGCCTATGCTGAACTGCACGGCACCGGCACTCCCGTGGGAGACCCGATTGAGGTCAACGCCATTGCGAGCGCCATGAATGACACGCGATCTCCAGAGCAGCCACTGCTCCTGGGAGCTGTAAGCATCATTTGGGCATTCGACAGCAAATTATTACTGACCGTGACATCAGGTTAAACCAAACATCGGTCACAGCGAAGCGGCAAGTGGAATTTTCGCCGTAATGAAGGCAGCAATGATGACCGAGGCGGCTGTCATTCCGGGAGTCGCCCATTTCCAACAATTGAATCCAGCTAGTAGGTCTCCTAGTCACTCGTCATGAGGACAAGGTCAACACTAAACAATCCGACAGTTCATGAGGAGGATTGGAATGTCAAGGTCAACAGTGAGACCAAGCCATGGCCGAACGAATCTGGTCTTCGCCGCACCAGTGTCTCGTCTTTTGGATACGGTGGTACTAATGGTCATGTAATTGTCGAGTCAGTCGATTCCTTATATCCTTGGTATCAGCACGCCAAACCTAAGCGAGAGGCATCCTATAACTGTGCCTCCTCGCGTCCATTCCTACTAACAGTTTCTGCTCATGACAAGTCTACTCTCGCCAGAAATGCAGCAGCTATCAACAGAGTCGCGAAAGAATACTATTTCACTGATCTCGCATACACGCTCGATATGAGCCGTACACGCTGGGGACACCGGGCGTTTACTGTTGCCCGCGAGGACCGACCAGCCGAAGTTTTTGGCTCGGACTTGCAAACTGGTGTTGCATTCTCTTCTGTACCAGATGTGGGATTTCTTTTCACTGGTCAAGGTGTAAGGCATCGTCACCTCGCTATACTGTCAATAATATGCTGACGTCGGTAATAGGCACAATGGGTAGGTATGGGACAGAAAGCAGCGAGGGAGTTCCCATCATTTTATCAGACGTTGCAGAGGTTGGATTCTGTCCTTGCACGACTTAACCCGCCACCATCATTCACCCTCGAGGGGTTTATTATCAACCATGCAGACGCTACAGCCATCAACGGGCCGGAGATATCTCAGCCGCTGTGTACTGCCATTCAAATTGCTCTGGTGGATCTGTTTGACGAATGGAACATTAACCCCTCAGTCAATGCTGGACACTCGTCCGGTGAGATTGGCGCAGCATACGCCGCCGGTTTGATTTCCGCACCGGGGGCCATCCTTGCCGCATACTGCCGCGGCCATGCGGTCAAGGCCCATTCATCAAAGGGATCGATGCTGGCCGTTGGCCTCGGAGCGGATGAAGCTGAGAAGTACATGTTGTCATACACCCCCGACCAGCTGTGTATCGCCTGCGAGAGTTCTCCCATCTTTAACCACCCACCATGCCACCAAATCGCTCTCGATCGAACCGAAACTCGCAGGAACAAGAGGGACGCATTTTATTAGCTATAGAAGCTTTTAAAAAAGGAGAAATCAGCTCAATCCGTGAAACAGCACGTCGATTTAACATACCGCGTTCCACCCTTTCTGATCGCCTTAATGGCCACCAATTTCGCATTGAAAAACGCGCCAACAACCATAAACTCACAGAGGTTAAAGAGGAATCGCTTGTTAAATGGATATTCTCAATGGATCTGCGTGGAGCAGCCCCTCGGCCTACAATGGTGCAAGAAATGGCCAATTTATTGCTTGCAGCTCGGGGTACTGATACTGTTGGCAAGAACTGGGTATCAACCTTTGTACGACGCCACCCAGAGCTTCAAACACGATTTTCTCGAAGATATGAATACCAACGGGCAAAACAAGAGGATCCAAAAGTTATTCAGGGGTGGTTTGATACTATACAAGCTACAATTCAGCAGTATGGCATCCTCAATGAAGATATCTATGTTAGAACTTGTGTAGCACGGAGGCCGCAGCGCGACCTCCGCAGTGCGGACTTATGCATTATTATCCATCATCTATTCATGTACATAGATAACAGGTCACATGACTAATGCCAGTCATGTGACCGCCGCGAGAATACTGATGAAAGTCGAGGTGGATCAATAGTTTGTCCGATTACCAAGGCCGACAGATCCCTCATATACGGACACACACACTCGTTTAGATAGCCAAGCACTCATTCTACCATCTACAGTGTCTATAGATATCATTGTCACCCTCCGTATAATCTAAGTTTCTTCTTCATATATAGCCTCGTGCAGTCCGGATAATCGACTCCCCGACTTCCCCGACTCGGAGTTAACCGCCTTATTGGTTTATCCGTTTCATTGGTTATGAGCCCGGGCCTACCATACTGACGTCTTAACAAACGCTTTGGTACCCCGGGGGCTCTATAGTCGCTTAACATCGTCTATAGACCGATCGATTGATCCCAACTGCGAGCCTCACCCTCGATTATCTTCCCACGAGATTATCGGCCAGTAATCCGCTCGGCGAAGTTTATTGAGTCGTGAGAACGCTACAATGACAGAAGAATCAGATATCGCGGAGAACCCCATGCCGCAATCAACGGCGCAGAGGCCTAGGGCAGGGCAAGGGAGGAATGGTAGGAAGCCAACAAAAGAGAATGGAATCAAGATATACCAATTTCCGATTGATAGGCTGAATGAGGAGAACGCTAGATACTGGTTTCATATGATGGAGGACCAGTTGAAGACCCAGTTTGCCTGGGAGGCGATTGAGTACTACCATGAGGTAGGAAGGGCAGAGTTCAATAAGATCTTGAAGGAGGATATGGACTGGTTTAAGATTAATCTGAAGGCGAATATGATTGTCCAGCAAGGCCTTTCACCAGCAACCATTCTGGAGATAAAAGATCAAGAGACTGCCGGGTTAAAATGGGATCGCCTAAAGGAGATGTTCTTGAAGTCATCAAACACCAGAAAGGCTATGAAGTTGATGAAGATGTCCAGTTGGACTTGGGATAATACGAGAATGAACGAGAAGGAAGCATTCCGTGAAATCAATCAACTGGGAGAGGAATTCATCGACATGAACAATAGCGAGATGGTGAATATCAGGGAGTTGATTGTGATCTGGTATCTGCGAGGATTGGGCAGTCAGTATACTACCTTGAGGGATACAGTGATGAGTTCAAACGCCACTTTAGATAAGGAATATGTCCTGAGCCGGGTCGAGGATCTCATGCAGATGAAAGGAGGATCTGCAGGTGAGAAAGGATCAAGGGTTCACAAAGATGGCAAGAGAAGGAAGAAAAGTGGATCAAAATGCTATGTCTGCGGGAAGGCAGGGCATTTCGCGAGGGAATGTCAGAACAAGCATGAGAGTGATGACGATGAGGATCATCAAAAATCCAAAGGTCGACAAGAAGGTCGACAAGGAAAATTGACAAAGCAAAAGGGCCGATTTGTCGGAGAGCGAAATAACAATAATGATGCCAATCAAGAAGAGCTGGATGAATTTAGCTCGTACGCGATAGAGAAATCGGAAGTGGGTCGATTTACAAGTGATAAGGCAAACCACGCAAGCAGCAGCAACCCATCAGTATGGTGTTTTGACAGCGGAGCCACAAGCATGTCAACCGGCAACAAAGATGTCTTTGAGAAGTTGGACCAGAGGAGCCGCGGAACTCTGACTGTTGCAGATGGAATTCAAATACCCATTGAGGGAAGAGGAACAGTGAAATTCACCCTGCCAAATGGGTCAATGGTCCGATTGAGTAACACCATATATGTACCAGGCTTGGCAGAGAATCTATTGTCATTAGAAGCGCTCCATGTTGTTGGATTCGAGTCAAGAGGAACGAAATGGGGTTATACAATACTGAAGGATGGCAAAGTAGTTGCCAAAGGACGACGAATTGGACGATCAACCTATCTGGATAGAGTTACGCACGCAAACGCTCTGTATGTGAAGCCAGAGCAAGCAAGAAAGTGCGCTGAGTTCATCACAAAGCCAGATGTGCAGTCAGTAATTCAACTGCTTAGTGGACGAGCCGCTAGAGCTGAAACTGAAAATGAGATCGACCAACGTCAGCAACTCATTCATCAACGACTTGGACACCCTGGAAAGAGACGTTTCAACGTCTGTGTTGAAGCCTTGAACTTGGACCAATTGAAAATTGGCAAACAGGATAAACTGCTTGAAAGTAATTGCGAAGTGTGCATCAAAGCAAAACAAGTGAAAAATCAGAGCCATGTTCCAGTTCCTAGAGCAAAGAGACCGCTTCAACGAGTATATATGGACTTTTGGGGTCCATACAATGAAGGCATAGGTGAAGAACGATATTACCTATCACTAATAGATGATTGCACACGGCATTCATGAGTCTTTATCAAGAAAAATCGGTTATCTAGCTCAGTGCAGAACACACTGGAAGTATGGCTGCGCCAGGTTGAAC